TGTGCGTTTGGTGGGATCAGCAGGGTATTGTCTACTATGAGCTGTTGAAACCTGGTGAAACTGTCAATGCTCACCGCTACCACCAACAACTGATCAAATTGCACTGTGCTCTGCGTGAAAAAAGGCCGGATTATCAGCAAAGACATGACAAGCTGATTTTCCTCCATGACAATGCACCATCGCATGTGTCAACATTGGTCCGAAACTACTTGGAGACACTCAACTGGGAGGTGCTACCCCATCCCGCTTATTCACCAGACCTGGCCCCTTCCGACTATCACCTCTTTTCATCGATGGACCACGCGCTTGCTGAGCGGCGCTTCGATTCTTATGAAGATGTCCAAAAATGGCTTGATGAGTGGTTTGCCTCGAAAGAGAAGAAATTTTTTTGGCATGGTATCTACACATTGCCCGAGAGATGGAACAAATGTGTCACTAGTGAGGGAAAGTACTTTGAATAAATTTGTTTTTGCTTTCTAAGAAAAAACGTGTGTTTTTCTGACTAAAAAACAGTGGATTTAAGCTTATACACCTATGTATGTAATCCCAGTAAATGTAGGACAAGCTAAAACAAATGTACACTCTTGCCACACACAAGTATTTTAAGCATTAGTGTCACTAGATATAGACAAAGTATGTTGAAGACACATTGGCATATAATTATACAATGAGCCTGGCAATAGTAGTGTCAAAATTTCAGGCAGCAGGAGGGGACATTGTGACAGATGTCCTATGTTATGAGCAGTTTACTACAAGTTTTGATATGCTAGCAATATGATTGATAACCCATTGCAAAATGCATATACTCTGCATAGAGTAAAAATATATGTTATATGTTGATGTGAAATATCATAATGAAGATAACAATGAAGAGCAGCATCAATCCATTGCAATTAATATCAGTAACAAAAGGAACAGGAAGAAAGGAGCTGCCAGTGGCATACTCGGGATTTAATCTTGGGAAGTAGTGTTGAACAGATAAAAATTTTTTTAATGCAAACTCAATAAAATTCCCACCTTATGTGGTTGCTAATTCATAAGTAATATAGAAATAGAACACTTGATATAATATAAATAAAAAAACAAATTTTAATTAGGAAAATATTTTTGGAAAATTTACTAGTGTTTCTTTTGCTTTTACTTTGGGGTGCCAGGGCCCTTAGCCACCCCTCTGGGTGCACCACTGGTAACTGGTCATATGATCATTTCTGTCACTTCTGCATGACAAGCCAGAAAATGACAGTAGCAGTAACAAGCATGAAGTGACTATTATTGATTGTATGGTGTCTGTTAACATGATGGCATAGTCGGCTGCTGGAAATGTTTGTGGACTGTGGAACTAACCAAGTCATGGACTAAGTTGAATATCTTATTCAGTACTACAGTAATGTGCAAGTAGTGTGTCAAAGTAGCCAATGTAAAAATCTCATATCTGAATGGGAAACTACAGGTAAGGATTTACATTAAAATTCCAGATAGCTTCATGCCAAAGCCAAATCAAGTCTAAAAAAACATAGGCAACTTATATGGCTTGAAACAAGGGACTCATATATATAGTTCAATGGAATGTGTAAACAACTTTGATTTAAACAAAAAGTGGAGATAATTTCTGTGCTTTTCCATTGTTTTGAGTGGTCTACAACTTATAATTACATATGTTGATTTCACAATATTGCTACCAATAAATATTGCATGAAAATGTTAAGACAAGCTAGTACAGATCCTACAATTATGATTTTTGGCAAACCCCCAACATTGTTGCTTGGTGTCAAAGTGTTAAGGAACAATGATGGCACATTTAGTTTATGCCAGACTGATTAAGTCAAATATTTATCGAAACAGTGACACATCAAAGTGTAAATTAGCAAAGTTACTAGTTGTGCCAGGCACAAAGTTAAGCAAAAAAAAAAATTGCTGGTGACTGTAGCTAAAAAAAAATATATAAATGTGCCATGCAAGGAATTAGTGGGATCCTTACATTACCTAGTTTGTGCCACTAGAGCAGACTTAGCATATATTATAACCATTGGGGAGGTTCTTTGAAAATCCAGAATACAATACTGGAAGGTTTCAAACATGTTTTACAATACCTGCAGGGAAAGAACAAGGTCTTAAAAATTGGCTCACATCCAACATATTGACCATGTTTTGTAATGCAAACTGGACTGGACTGATGACCACTATAACCAATATTCAATGAGTGGTTGTATACTGCAAGCTGGTGAAATACCAGTGTTGTGGTTACATCGAAACAGAGTTGTGTGGTTTTGAGCATAATAAAAGCTTAATTTTATGTTTTGATGATCAACATTCATAAGAACTATTAAGTTGATCAGTTCTGGAATGAAGACAAAGTAAAACAAGCAAGAATAATAATGCTGGCTGACAATAGCACTACAGTTGAGTTGTGTAAGTCCATGATAGTCACATGGAAAACTAAGATATATGCTTAATGTAGTATATTAGTTTGTACTTGTACTTTGTTAGTTTGTAATGTAATTGTACATAAATTAGTTGCAGGATGCACAGTGGAAGTAAAATTTGTATGCACCAGAGAGAACACTATAGACATTTGTACAAAGCCATTGGCACAAATCAAATTTGTAAGTCATGTATGCATGTTGTTGCAAACTGAGTTCTCACTGTCTGACAAGTGAAGGATTTGTATAGCATTTGATAGTACAGATGATGCCAGGTGATTATTTTTCCTATATTGTATAGAGTTTCATCTCTCTCCCTCTCTGTCAGTAGTTCAGTTGTTGTGTAAGCTTCATTATGATAATTATAACTAAAATCTGTTCTTTCAAGTTTAACATGAAAATTCATGCCTTTAATTTCTGCTGTAATGCTACAGGAATCATACTTACATTACTTTTGTAATTATTTTTTGAAAAAGATTACAAAAAACTATATTAAAATGACAGATTTTAAAAGATAATACTAATATATACAAAGTTAAAATGTAAGTAAAACAGACTACCGAATTCAACAGAAATAAACTTACATCTAAACAAAATTAGATCATTGCATAAATGAATTATTACAAAATATTTCAAATTATGCAATATCATCATTATCCAAACAACATTTAATCAGTAAATATTTAAAATGAAATTAGAATGGATAAAATATTTACAAATTATCAATTTCAGCTAAAATTAGTAAATTTCATTGAATCAAAGCGAATTAAATAATATTTCTCTCACCTCTTTAGGATCAACACTTTTCACTTCTTCAGGTTGTAATTCTATAGTATATTAATACATATTAGTATTTAAAACACTTAAAAATTATAAAAATTAACAATATACATTAACAATATTTAATTTTNCTTATCATATAGTCTGAATGCAAACATCAAATTCTTTCAATACCACTAAAGACCATCTATAAATATGATCTCTACATTGACCAAACCCAAAGTATGATCTATCTATTTGACCTTATCGAAATATCAAATTTCAGAAACTTTATTTGTAGCTAAGAAATCTGCAAATATTTTTTCCTATTATATATTTAATAAATGAATACAATGATAAAAATGTTACCTTTAAGAATGATTTTTTTTTATGTTATGTAAGATGCTTAGTTTCTGTTCAGAATAAATTAATTATTAGCAATTTACTGCAAAAAACAAAAACTTTAATTAATATTTATGAATAAAATGATCATAGGTAATGTAAACTAAAATTAAGCGCGATGTTAATGAAAAAATTAATTATCTCATAAACAACATTTCATAAGAATGATGTAAATATTATTGAACTCTCTGCTTTGATGCAATCTCCAATATCAGAATTGGCAAAATAAATTTAGTAAAAGTAAGATGAAAATGCTATATATTCCAGCAATCCTTTCAAAGACCTACTGGCCTTTTCTAGGATCGGTAAGTTAGAAAATTAACGAGAAGAACGATGATGAATTAAAGTGATTGCATTCTGGCAGAAACTAAATTATTTACCACCAAAAATGACAATGATCCATTGATTTTGAAATAATAATGTTTTCTTAACATTTGTTTATAAAAAATTTTGTAGAAAATTTTTATGGCAAGCTTTGACTTTTCTTTTAAATTTGAACTTCAAAATGTGACATGATGAAATGAAAATAATATGTATATAATTTATCTATAAACATTTTTTAACAGGTTTGCAATATAACGAGAACTAAATGCTAATTTCCATTTTCTTTATGTATAACTTAAAATATAAATTGTGCACATTTTGAGCATCATTCACAAAATACATTAATGTAAATTTTAAAAATTAGGAATCACAAATAGACATATTGCATTTTAGAAAATATTTAACTTTGTATATTTTACACTCAACAACTTATCACAGAGATGACAATGATACTTGACCTTTGCACAAAGTATTGATTGCTTGGTGCATGATGAATATAGTATTTATGTTTTTATATATATATTTTATATACATATATAAAGCAAATTTTGTGAGTAGGTAAGAAAAATAGTTTTGTTATAATACAAAAGATATACAGGCACCAAATAAGCTGCATACAATATTAAAAAAGAATTCAACAATTAACCATAACATCAGATTATAGATGATAATTAACAAGACAGTTGAAACATTCTATGACATAACTTTCTTGGAAAGTGCTTTATGAATTGGCATGATAATGTTTGAAATCAGCAGCAACAAAACATATAGAATATGGATAATTTAATCAACAAATTATTATAAGTATATAAATGTATATATTGTATATATTAATTTTTTTTAAATTAAAAAATTTAAGAAGTTACCTACTTTTGTTTTAGAGATAATTAGTAATATTTTATATTAAATAAAATATTAATTAGTTTTGGTTTATCATTCCTTGTTAATTTTTTAATTATAAAGCATCTCATATTCCAAGAATGCTGCTAATAATTTATAATATTTATATTATTCTTATATATTTGAATTCCATAATTTCATCAGAATAAACTTTTTCAACAAAAATACATTCTAAACTTATTACATCTGCTTGGGATATATTTAAAATCTTTCTTATTCTCTCTGATTTGAAATATAATTAAAGAAACTTTTAAAATGAAATATTTAAAGATTATTGTGTCAAACATTTTGAATTCAATAAATGAGAAATTTAATATCTGAAAGAAATTCAAATTATATTGATATATATCTATATAACCATTATAAAAAAAACTTTGTATTCTCTTTAGCTTTGCAGATGATGAATTCTGTACATCTAATGTATGTACAAGAGAAGTTCTGAAGTATTGCTGAAATAAAAATTAGTAGTATTTCATTTCTTCATGAAAATTTTCTCAGCATTATATTTCACAAGAATCTATTTTCTTAAAAAGTATTCGACTGTAATTTTAAAATAAAATATATACATTTTAAAAATTACAAGCATTTATAGATAATTCTAAATAAATTTTATACCTACATTGTCAATTAAACAAAATTTTCAACTTAAACTGTTTCACTTAATGACTATTTATGAACAGTGCTCATTTTATATATTTTAAAGATATTTATATTGAGCACATGGAAGTCTTACTACCACTAATGACGTCAGAACTTATCAAAATGGACTAAATATCTTCCTTAAATATTTACAAATGTGTACATTTTCCTAATAGTGCATCATATTTTAGTATCATTTTATGTATGTAAACAAAATTTATGCTAGAAATATGAAAACATATTTTGATACATTTTAAATATGTAAAAACACAGAACAGCTAATAAATTTCTGGTATTAGTTTTTGTGGAATTTGATATTAGCAGTTCCTGTAGCAAAGCCAATAAGAGAGAGCCATAAGCAAACTTATTGTATCCTACAAAAGCCATTCTCTCTTCTTTACACAAAAATTAGCAGTTTATTCTTCAAAAGAGAAATATTCGTAAATTGATCACAAAGTCAGTTTATTTTAAAGCAATAATTTCCCTCTCTTAGTCCATGGCATATTCTTCAAAAATAGTATGAAATCTTTGTCAGATACTGACATCACCAAAATCTTGATTCCAAGAATTATATTCAGACAATGTTTTTGTAGCAACACTCCGACGAATGCGTTTTAATGATTCTAAAAAGTCAGCAATTGTGATTTTTCGCATCTGGAAACACACAGTTCAAATAACTTTAATATTTTTTTAAAAAATTTCTGTATTTTCTTAATACTAAAATATTTTTAAACCATTAATTAAAAATATTCTTAAAAAAATACTTCAAAAGAATAATAAAAAAATGTTTATATTATGACAAAAAAGCAGTTCTGACAGACAAGATGGAAATTTTTAGATAAAACATAACATACAGTAATACCTTGACTTACGCGAACCCAGAGTTATGCGATTTTCAAATCTCGTCGATTCATCTTTTGTTTGAGTGCCACGCAACTCTTGATTACTCACTCCACCCACACTATTGTTCAGCTTACATGTTCGGACGTGTCGCGCGGAATTGACACATAGCTACAATTTATTTTGTTATTTATTTCTGTGTTTGTTATATCTACGGAGACTTGAGAGACTCTATGTAGTGATTTCTTGTAACCGTGAACAAATGAAAAGACGAGATAAGATTAACGAGAACATTTATTAGCTTACATACATCCCACTTGGATTTTACACAAATTGTGAAATTATACCCCGATTTACGCAAATTCGACTTACGCGGTCATCGCTCGGTCTCACCTATCACATAAGTTTGGGGTATTACTGTATTAGTATTATCAGGAAAGACTGTACAAGAGTGGTTTTTATTAAACCTTATTAAATGTGTATTTGGTTTTTAACATGCTGTACATTGAGATATTGTTGAGATGTCATTTTTAAACAGGCACTAGAGAGTCAAAACACAACTGAAGAGAGAATACTTTTGTAAAACCTGAAATGAATTTTGCCTGGAATTTGTTATTCAAGGTGCCAAAAAGATGTTTAAATAAAATGACGTTTTTGTAAGTCTTGCATCTATTGCATAAAATTACAATGCAGTTATTGGACAATTTAATTTATTGTGGGTGTTTGGATAGGAGACAACTTCAGAGAAGATAAAAACTCCAGCTCCAGCAGTAGTCCACAAGTAAAGGTCTGTTGTGAGATGTGTACTTCACATCATAATGTGAACATTTTTATTGTTCTTTTGAAGTATTTTTTAAAAAAAATTAAAATGTAATGAAACTTTTTTTTTACAATTTAAAAAAAATTCAGTAAGTTTTATGATCAGAAAAATGTTCTGTTAAGTTATTAAAACTAATTCAGAAGCTTTATTTTAATATTCTACTAGAAATATTATGAATTTTTGAGAATAAATTATGCATAGACTAATATTGTATTGTAATAATATATTTTTAATATTAGTATTTAAAAATAATTAAAATCTCTTAAAAAGCTATAAATGAAAAATTTTGACAAGTTTATTGCATGATTTTCATGTTTCCATTTATATTAATCATAATGCAACTGCATGTAATCAACCCTGAAACTATTTGAACTAATCTTGTAGTTCATCTAGAAATCAAATACAGTGAACCTGGTTAACTCAAATTGGTTGTAGGGGAAAATGCAGACTGACAAGGAGATAGTCAGACATTTGCCTCTCCGATTTGAACAAAACTTGGCGAACGCATACACATCCTTGTTCAAATAGGACCCAGTTCTCATGTGTTTCTGAAAAATGGGCTTCTAAAAATTGAGTATTTAGCTTATAGATCTTTGGAAGGTTCAATTCTCATAATTGATATAGCTGAGTGGATAAGATGCTAGGTATGGGAGTTGCATGATATAGGTTTGAGCCTTTGCACTTTTTTTTTAATGTGTAACAAATAATTTTTGTTATTTTACTCTATCATTAGCATTATTATTACTATTGTTATTTCTCACATTTAAAGCATATAACACAAGAGATTAAAAAACATAACACCATTTCCTATTTAGCAAAAACAGTCTCTGTAGATTTAACTCTTGTATGTCATCATTAAATAAAATTTTTACTTCTTCATATTAATTTTCAGATAGGGTTATATTGTTATATTTGAAGTGTAACAAACGTGAGTGCATGAGGAAATTATCTATAACATTAACAATTAAAAAAATTCTGTAACAATGCTACCCGATCTTCATATCAGACTTGTCTTTTTTGTCCAGAGGCCCATTTTTTGGAAATACTTGAGAAGTGGGTCCTATTATTTGGACAAGAATCTGTTTACGTTTAGGGCTACTTACTCACCAGCTTTCATTTGAATTGGAGAGGCAAACATCTGGCTGTCTCCTTGTGAGTTAAAAAGTTGGGTTATGTTTGGCTAAAAATCAAAATTTTGTGCATTGGTTTATCAGTGACCAATAATAAACTAGTCATATGATATTTACATGGGTCATATTGCATAGAATTGATGTGTCAGTGTAAACTTCTCCATGTTGTCCAGAAACTTGAAAACATTCAACCAAATGGTTAAATAAGTTACTGAAAAATGCTTAAGTGTTTAGTAAGGATTTTTCTAAATTGTGATATTTCACAGGTGAATTTCCTTCACTAAACTTTGTCAAGTGTCGTAAATTCTGATCTCAAGATAGTGAAAAGAGAAAGTGAAGGTAAAACCTATGGGATTACAAAATTCAATGGCAGCAATACCTTTGATACAGTCATTTGCAGTTGAGCTAGTCCTTACCAAAAAGGGTGTATGAAAACATGTGGAATCAGAGGTACAGGATAACAACCCATGTAGTGTTAAAGTTGTGTATTATAATTACTGCTGTAACTGATCATGTTCTGAGACATATTAAGCACTTACCAGGTGTATAAGCTTAAATCCGCTGTTTGCTAATAGATGGCATAAGCGAGCGTATTAAGTTACCATGAGGTTATCAAAAAAACAATATGGCATTAAGTTGCCATATTGTTTTTTTGATGATTTTGACGTCTGTCAACATTAATCAGTGCACATCATCAGCTATTTCATACAACAACATATATTTGTTTTTTTGTAATCATGTCTACTTTTGTGCCAGAAAAAGAGCATATGCGGCAAGCTTTGCTTTTCTGCTTTAATTTGAAGAAATCGGCTGCCGAAGCACATCGAATGCTTGTGGAGGCTTATGGAGACAGAGCTTTATCGGAAACCACGTGCAGAGATTGGTTTCATCAGTTCAAAGATGGAAATTTTTACCTGAGCGACAAGAAGCATGAAAATCGGCCCAGGAAGGTTGAGGACCATCAACTGCAGGCTCTTTTGGATGAGGACGATACCCAATCGCAAAAAATGCTTGCCGAGCAATTGGGTGTTACTCAACCAGCCATTTCCATGCGTCTACGTGCCATGGGAAAGATTCAGAAGATCGGAAAATGGGTGCCGCATGAATTGAACG